TGATATGAGGACCTAGTATGACATATGCTCCACCGGTTTTGCAGTTAAACTCCCGGTTTTGCATGTTTGGACATTTTGGTGAACTCAATAGCCACAAAATCTTTATTACTTTACGAAACGGGATCCTGGTTTCTTAGTTGATGGGTGAAATGATTGTGTGGTTTTGATAATAGCAAGAGTGGGGAATGAATACCGGCCGAATGGTAACCTGATGGAAGAGTTTGGCATTGAAAGTGATGGCTCGATTCCCATGCATGATGCATCCCCAGGGAATTTATACTTGTTTTGCAATTTTTGTGAGGTTTTGATAGTATGGATTGCTGCAATCAGTGATATGCATGGCAACTCTATTTAGCATTTATGGGCAGCCTGCAGTTGGAAAAGTGAAGTGGTTCTTGATATTGATGTTAATACCATAGTTTTCTTCAACTCACAAACTGAATTGGTTCTTGCTCAGATTTCTTTGGTGCAGGGTTAGTGGGATGAACCACATATAAGATATTAAACTGTAAACTACAAGGGTCACACAGTCCCTTTTAAAGGTAAACTACAAGGGTCAATGGTACCTGTTGCAACTCTCCGTATGGATGCATTAGAAATGAAAAGGTTAAAGTTTTGATTTGGAGGGGTGCGCCATGCCAAGGCAAAAGTGCAACGCCAAGGCGACACTCAAAGACCCCAATAGCAAGCTATTGTGACGGATCTTTCCCCATAAAAAATAAGATTAATATCGAGTAGGCCGATGGCCCACATATCAGATATTAAACTGATAAGAACAGATACTACACTTGATCTTAGCCAAAAGGCCGAGAAAGGTATGAAATTTGCGTAAGGGAAAGGCCTTCCTTTTTAAACCTACTCAACATTCTCTGTTTGCTTTCCTTGAGGCGATGTGGGACTCCATAACTTTGCCTTTATTATGTCATGCATGCAACCGACTCAACTAATGGCTTAACTGCAGTAGCTTAATTTGCTTGATTAATATAGCTGCCATACAGTATGTTAATATTAATATAAATTATAAACCATGAGACTACCCATCGCAGCATCACAGTCCCTTAGCTTGTAATTAACGTTAGACTGGAACTGCTTCTTTTTGATACCTTAATTTGCTTATTAATTAAAGTAATTAAACCAGGAGACTCGTCAAAATTCAAAATTGTCAGAAAAATGTACCAGCTTCTAATCTATAACTCGTCAGAATTCAAAATTGTCATTTTTTAAGTTTTCTAAACCAAACGAGAGATGCAATTAACTAAGCAGAAATTTTGGAGTTACTACTTTTCTACTGATTCTAAGCATGAAAAGAATATGAAATTTTAAAACTAAGAGTATAGGTAGGGGCCGCGCGAACGCAGGCCCCCTCTAACACAAATTATGACGTAGGTTCGACCAACTTGGGCCGACCTTAGACAGGCACCTCTCCGTAATGTGCAATGGAGACCACCAGCCTAGGCCATGGACCTTCTTGATCCCCCAAAGACACCGTCCAGGTAAGTGATTTTTCCGTTCCCCTGCCCTCGCTTTTTATCCAACAACTACGTTGACTTTTCTTTTCTTCCGCCTCCGATGTGGGATATGCATGCATGCATGGACCACGTATCTATTCTTAATTCTATTTGCCTTGGAAAATGGAAATGTTACCTAGCTCCATACTAATTATTAACTTCCTTTTTTTTTTCTTTTATCCTAGCCAGCTTTCTTGGGATATTGACCCCACAAAACAACTTAAGGTAACCTAGCAACTTAAATACACTAAACTTAATAAACTAATGGAAAAGATAAATCGAATAGCAAAGCTAACTAGAATAGTTCTTTTTACCATGTTTTTTTTTTGCTTTTTAGGCAACCGACTATTCTTTTTCCATTCAAGTTAACTAACAAGATAGTTGGTTGCCTAAGATGGAAAAAACATGGAATGTTGATTGCTATTACAAGTAATTTATCCTATTCATAATGCTATCTAGTGGTTAACATGGTACCATTATACCCTTAAATACTTGAATGTGTATGCGATTCTTATGTAATTATTCTATTGGAACTAATGTATAACCAGCTTACATACCTCTACCTGTGCAGCAGCCTCTCTTTATTGTCGTTTTGAAGCCATTACTTGAAGTTGCTCGATTGCAGAGACTGTCACAATTAGCACAGGATCGATATTGAAGTAAGAGCATGCATACTCAAAATCAGTCTCTGTATTGGTAAAACACCTTCTGAAGGAATACTTACTTATAAGTAAAAAAACATTAAAACACTTTGTCAAAATTGTGATTTAACCAACGTTACTTGGAAGTTAATTACATCTAGTCAATAAATAATTTGCTTTTTGTATCTGTTAGCTCTCTCTCCAAACCCTGTGATGTTACTATATTTGAAACTAAAATCATTTAGAAACTTAAGCAATTACCTACCTACTTTGGTTTCTGGATGTCCAGTATGCTCCATTCTCTCATACTAAACAAAATCTTTCTATTTGTAAACATTATCACCTCCGTGCTTCTCAAGATGACGCAAAAATCTTGGTGATAATCCCAAGTGATCTCCGGTAAAAGCTAGACCAATTGTTAGCACATCGCACCTGAACTATATGACCTTTTTCATAAGCTACTCAAGCACCGAAATGGGTAATTAAATGCAGATGTTGTGCTTCAAGGCCTACAAATTAAAGTGAAACTCAACTACATCTACCCAATTCCTTTATCGTCCCTGCATGCAAAATATTTATTTTGCAATGTTTAATTTTCAGGTACAATCATGCTTTGCCCAAATCTATATTTCGTGCCCTCTTTCTCGATACAAAAATTGCCACTTATGATAACACTTTTTCACATATGTATTATTATACACAACTACCCGCATCCATGATATAAAACCACATTATCTTTTACCACGACTCGACCGTGTTTCGCTGAAAATTGATATTCCATGTGTAAACTGTGGATCAGTTTGAAAGGACCTTAGATCAATCGATTTATCAAACAATGACTATTAATAAGAACAGAACAATGAAGTATCACAAAGAACTTTCACTAAGAATGATAATCTCACAAAGAGATTATTGTTCGCACAAAGCGGCTATTAGGGTTTGTGAAAGACAACCTTTTCACAAACCCGTACAAAAGACTATATATAACTATTATAGACAATCCCTACAAATCAGGGATGTTCCAGCTAACTAATATATGATCACTATGGAAACAAGATAAATACTAAATTTGTTACATTAAAAAGATATACACTGAACAACTTGTATGCTGACGCTGGATTACATGCTGATGCTGAGTGATCAGTTTCAAACATCATCATATTATAAGGTTCGACCTTACAATCTCCCCCAATATGATGATGTTCAAAACAACAACTATACAAGAACACCTCTGGACAAAAATTCTTCATACTCAGCTTCAGCTTCTACTTTCACAGGCCAGTAGGGACTATCCAGCAGCTCATGTCTTCTCTTCAGTAACTCCATAGCAATCAGTATGTCAAACTCTCCAGAGAGATCTTGATGACTCATGCACATTTGTCTTAAGCCAACAAGATGTGCTGTTGGAGCTCTTGGAATTTCTGTGGTGCGCTGAAAACACATTCTTCTGTTTTTATCAAGATAAAACATTCCATGTTTAGGAACAAAGATGAACTTATGTTGAACCGGCTCAACACCAATAGGAAGAGAGTTGTTTATTCATTCAACACCAAAATTTAGAACCAATACATCTTCACTATCAACTTGAAATCTGGTTCTTCTGATTCTTGGAACTGAGGAATTTTGGCCTTGCTGTTGTGGATGCTGCGTAGAAACAAGATCCAGACGCTGAATTTTCTTGATCAGTAAATGGAGAGCACAGGTCAGTTCTGAAGAGAGAGCCGAAGTTTGCTTGGATGATAATTCGAGCAATTCCATCCATTCAGAATATCCGTATCTGATCAGCTCATCCCTCTTGACAACTTCAGTGTGTGGATGTTGAAGACCTTGACGAGTGATCAACAAAGTAAGAATTTTCTCGTTACGAGGTTTAGAAGCTTTAACTTTGATGATCTTATCACTGCTCACTCGTCGTTTAAGAACATCTTGAAACCTCTTGCGATCAATCCTGTCGAGAACATTTTCAGTCCTTGACTTGCTGCTACTGGGAGGAGGCTGTGAAGATTTGGATTTGGATTGATATTCTAATAACTTTTGCATCTGAGCTTCAAAGGATCCTTTGGCCTGAAGTTTATGCTGAATGAGAGATTCATCAGCTTGAGCAATATTCTTTAGAAGTTGAGCTTTATTGGCTTCATCAAGAATTTGCTTAACTTGATCAGGAGACATGTTCCATTCAGCTGCTAAATTGGATATATTGACGATGGACTTAGGTTTCTTGCTAGGAAGAGAAGTATCAGTATGTAAAACAGCCAATTCAGTATCTGTTGCCTTGCGCTTGCGAGATAGAGATTGAATATCCTCGCTAGCTACATATAAGTCTTCTCCTTGAATTGGAACAATGGGATCAATGAAGTTCATATCTAGCATTTGACACTCATCATCATGATCATCTTCATTATCATCTGAGGCTTCTTCTTGAACTGGCACATGAGGATCAATGAAGTTCATGTCCAGAATTTGACATTCATCATCATGTTCATCCTCATCATCATGCTCACTATTTCAGCAAGCTTTTCAGTATCTGCTGGTCTATCAGACTCGTACACAGGCTGTGGTGGCTCGGTCTGGTTTAAAATATTATCCTCAGATCCGAGCTCAACAGATTCAGTTTCTCCCTCTTTTTGATCATCACTAGTTTCTCCCACTTTTTGATCATCATCATGTTGTGGGCCAGGGAAGGAGTTGGCAAAAGAACTCCCTTCAGTTGGTGGACATCAGCCTCAATTCGTAGAAGACGTTGATTCATGTCCCGAGTCAGTGTAAGAAGCTCATTAAATGTTGAGGCCGATATATGAAGGAATTGAGTACCTGGAACTTCTTGTGAGCGATGTTGCTCCCCCGGAGAAGGTTACTCTCCCTGGGATGGGTGCTCCCCCTGAGATGGTTGCTCCCCTTGAGCTGAGTGAACCCTCTCAGTGACAGAAAGAGTATGATGAGAAAGTTGAGGGGAGAGATGACCACCGTCCTGCGTTTCAGCTTGTTGATCAGCATGATCTTCGTTGTTACCATCAGCTCCTTCATTAGTATTAGCGGTTAGTGAAGGAACAGTATATAGATTTGCGATCCATTCTCTCATTCGATCAGAGATGCCGATGTCATTTTCCATTGGATCATCCTGATACATTCGCACTGACATGCGTGGGCATTGGATGGGGTTTCCAGAGTAGGAGTAGTAGGCTTCAGCGAAAAATTTATCTAGGACAAGAGCAATCCAGTGTGGAAAGGGGACATGATCAACTCGTACATTGGCACGAAGAAGTTGGACAAGCTGATCAAAGAAGAAAGCCCCATAATCAAAATGTTTGTTGAGAAGAAGGGAACAGACAACTTGTTGCTCACAATTACTCAGTTGATCACCACTGCGAGATTTGTGACCCATACATTTGCACAGAGCCCAAGTGAAGAACTTCCATCCTGGAGTCATACATTGACGCAAAATGAGAGCTGATCGAGCACCATCCTTTGAGTGATCATAGCACAGTTGATCAAAGAGGCATCGACAACGTTCAATAGTTGGAAGCTCAGAGAATGGTTCAAAGATTGGTAACCTGAACGCAGCACTGAGGAGATCAGCGGTGATAAAAACGGAGTGTCGGCCACGCCTAATAGTCCCAGAGATGACGTTGTTTTCATCATTAACCGTTGCAGTGTAGTAGAACTCACATACTTGTTCGGGAAAGAACTCTGATGGAACCTCACTGATGGCGTATCGAAGTCGGCAGGAGACTAGGAAATTGACAAAATCATCAAGTCCGAGGCCGCGATGAACATCTGGTATATCAGGGTTGAAAACGACATTTGTGGCTTTGATGTATATGGGAAGAGGAGGAGAGTTTGGAGCTGGGACGACTCTTCTTGAAGTGGAGGAGAAAGTGAACAGTGATGTCGTCATTGAAGAAATTTAGGATTCTAGGGTTTTCCTTTTTTTTAAGAGAGAGAGAAGTTTGGAGGAAGGTGAAAAGGTTTGGGGAAGAGGTGAAAAGGTTTAAATAGGGGATGAAATGGTTAAAAAGGTAATGATTATCTTTATCGAAAATAACTGCGTATCTTCACAGACTGTCAAATCAAAAAAATAGCCGTTGGGTAAAAAGAGTCGTTGTACTGAAGAGGAAACTACAATCAGTGTTTGCAGAAGCGCTGATATCAGTGTCTCGAAAAGTTACATGCTGAAAGATAGTTTGTCGTCAGTTCAAGGTACAACTTGCTTATTTAGGGTTAGCAAGGTGATTGGTGCGTGTGATAGATATTGGTTTAATTATCTAACCATTGGTACAGAGTGTCAAGTCTTTATCAGTGAGTGGTATTTCTTACTAAATCATTAGACACTAAGTGAGAAGAAGGTGAAAAGAGGTTTGTTGCGTGTGATAGACCTTGGTGTTTTGGTCTAACCATCGGCAAAGACTGTTAGATTCTCATCAGCATGTGTTTTGGCACACTGAATCACATAATCAGTGTAAGATTGGTAAGAGTGGATAGTTGCGTGTGATAGACCTTGGTGTTTTGGTCTAACCATCGACAAAGACTGTTAGATTCTCATCAGCATGTGTTTTGTCACACTAAATCACAAAATAAGTGTAAGATTGGTAAGAGAGGATAGTTGCGTGCGATAGAACTTGGTGTTTTGTCTAACCATCGGCAAAGAGTTTCAAGTTGTTATCAGTGTATGGTTTAATACAGTGAATCATTCAAATTTAGTTTAGAAGATTTGTAGAAGAGATATAGATAAGAAACCATACAATGTACTCAGCATGCTAAACATCATCAACACATCATCATCAGCAAAAAAAGTTTATAAGACAATAGCAAACATTAGTAAAACATTTTCAATCCAGAGTGATCATTCCAAGTTTGCCAATAATATGAGCATTAGTTTGAGTATCCAAGGCCTTGGTGAAAATTGTTGGATATAATGTCTAAGTCCACAACTTTATTTGGTATGAACTTGACCCGACCCGGTTTGGTCCATTTGGGTTGCATGGCATTGCAATACTTGGATAGACTAAATGAGAGAATAAGGTACTTATGATTATTAATATATTATAAGTTCTAACATATTAATAATAGTATTATTTAATTAGTATTTGACCAAGTATTAATCTAGTATTAATTTGGTGATCAAAGTGAGACTAATTAAATATATAAGGGTTGATTATGACAATCATCAATTCTTTTATGGTGGATTAATGATCCATGGTTTATGGGTTATGGATGTAACCATTTTGAGCTCCATGGATAGTCCATGGGAGTTACAAACCCATGGGTCAAGAGAAATGAAGAGTCATGATAATTATGGGTCTTCTTAATGAAACCCTAATTGTGACACCACTATAAAAGGAACCCTTTGGTTAATGAAATTGGGGCTAGTAAGGTTACTAGAGAGGGCATAACCGATTTTGAGTGCTAGAAGTATTCTATCAAGTTATTCCAAGTTTTGTGGTGTTGTGTGAAGCATTGGAGGCACAAAATTTGGGGTGCTAGGCTCACAAAGTCTTGAAGGAATCTAAGCAACAACAAGGTATGTATTTCTATTAGTTTTTATGTTTCATATATTCCCCATGCCATGCTAGTTAGGAAATAACCATGAAAAAGAAATTTGCATGTATATAGAGAAAACATAGATTCAGGGTTATTAGGGTTGCATGTACACTTAGGAAGTGTTAGAATGCTCAAAACCCATCAGTGGTATCAAAGCCTAGGATTGTTTTCTGTATACTTGATGCAAAACTGCTTGAAAAACGAAAACTCTGCATTCTGATGACTGTACTCGCCGAGTCCATGGGGAGGAATCGCCGAGTCCATGAACAAATTCATCCTACTCGCCGAGTAGGATAATGCACTCGCCGAGTAGGATCGAGATGGGCAGATTTTTCGAGTTTTTGTTGCTGGAAATGGATTAGAATCATTATCCCAATCTGTTTTGGACTTGTAAAATCTGTTTTTCAAAATGATAATGATTATGTTAATCCATTTTACATGACTTTTAACAATTTCAAAGTATTATATATGTTTATATGATTTCTTGAAATTGCTTGACATGAATTTGTGTTCTTATGAGTTTTTAGAAGATCATAGGAATTATGTGTAACCACCATGTGTGTTTAATTCTTGATCTTAATTGTATTGATGGTGTCCATAACATGTCCTCAAGTTATGGATAACCAAAGGTCACTTCTTTATTTTGTGTTTAAAGAACTAAAGATGTTTCATAAAATGAAGAGTCTTCATTTTTATGAACCAATAAAACTCATAAGTTACAAAATTGAAGTGACTTGGAATAGTTTCAATTCTTGCCCTCAAATTTTGGAATTTGAAAAGTCTTACACTTTAATTCCAAATTAAACCTTAGATTTTTAAAAGGTTTAAAAATCAACCCTTATATTATTATTATAATTTTATTATATAAATATGTATAAGAATATGTCGTTCTTACCGTTAGTAGGCCTCATTCACGAAGCTGGTCTATAAGGGGGGTATAAGGTTGTTGCCTATAAAATGGTGACTTAATGGGTGTCCACTCTCACCCACCGCTTCCTTGATCGGTGGAGGGTCGTTAGCCGAACGGTAGGATACGACTTTAAATTCTCATTAAAAGTATAATGAATTATAAAGTAACTATACATTATAAATTTCCAATCTTAGTTACTTTAGGAAAATGTGAAATTGGTGCTAGCCCATAAAATTACACTTTGTACCTTACCAAGTCGTTAGTGGAGCGTGTGTGGTTAACTGACACACTAACTTGGACTAGTAAGAGTGGCAAAGGTAACTTGACTTTATTATAGATCGGTGGAGCATGTGTGGTTAACCGGCACATCGATTAGGTAATATTGTTAAGGGTACGAAGTCAATTTGTATGGTTATTCACACCTTGTTTGTGATCCTCGGCATCCCAGTCACAAACTTGAGAGGGCACATTCGAGATTCAAACATGCCATTGAAAAGTTCAATGTATCTCAAAAGATCTAGGAGTTTCAAAACCAATAAAACCTAATAATAAAATATTTCGTTCTTATGGTGAAAATTGGTAAATCGTCATTTGCCTACCTTCAAATATTTTATAGTGTGGATTACGGCATCCCTCTTCCACCTATAAATAGTTTGTTGGATCCTAGCCTTAATATCTCATTTGGGTGACTTATTAAGGACTCTTAATCTAATGAAACATATGTTCCTTCTATTCCAGATGTCTTCCAATAACGCTGCTGGCTCAAACCCTACAGGCTCCTTTTCCCTAATGAACTTGTGTGGTAAGGTCATCTTTGATGGATCCAACTTCAATGAGTGGATCAGAAACATCAGGATGATTACCCGCTATAAGGACAAAGAATATGTCCTTGATAGGGAGCTTAAGGTTGTTAATGAAGCCACTACTACTCCATAAGAGCTTGCGGAGTTCATTGCACATGAGAAGGATGCCACCAAGGTGTCCTGCATCATGATGGCCACAATGACTCCGGAACTCCAAAAATCTTGTGAAGATTTCTACCCCTATGAGATGCACCTAGATTAGATGGAAAGGTACCATCAGAGCGCGCGTCAAGAGAGGTATGAAATCATTTCCTCCATGATAACCGCAAGGATGAAGGATGGTGAACCCATCACCGGTCACTTGCAGAAGATGCAGAGGTTCGTTGACCGGTTGCTAAAGCTCAATGTTGACTTCCCTGAGGAATTGGTGATTGACATCATTCTCCATTCCTTACCTTCAAGTTATGATCAGTTTCGTATGACTTATCATATGAATAAGGAGGAAGTCACACTTAGCAAACTTCAAGGACTCTTAACGACAACTGAAAATGGCCTTAAGGGTAAAGCGGTTGCTACTTCTACTCCTTTAACAGCCCATGTTCTTGCAATTGGGCAAGGGAAGAGTAAGAAGAGGAAAAGCCCTTCAAAGGGTACCAAGGGTAAGACTCTTGATGGTTCCTCTTCAAGTGGGACAAAGAAAGGTCACATTACTCCTTCTTCGAACCCAAAGGAAGCACGGTGCTTCTATTGCCAAGATAAGGGACACTTCAAGCGATGCTGCACCAAATATCTACAAGATGTAAAGGATGGGAAGGTTAAACCTACCCATGCAAGTATTTACACAATATTGTCTAACAACTCATCTAATGCTAATTCTTGGGTGCTTGATACAGGGTGTGGTATTCACATTTGTACTGATTTGCAGGCACTAAGAAGAAGTGAGCAAGTAGAGCACGGGAAGATAAACTTAGTCATGGGCAACAGGAAAGCATCACATGTTACCAAGATATGAGTTTATTTTTTGTTGTTTAATAATGGGTTAATGTTAGATTTGAATAAGTGTTGTTACTCGCCTGAAATGGCGAGAAATATTATTTCCTTTCATGGCTTGTACAAACAAGGTTTTACATTTTCATTTGATAATAAAAATGTTGCTATTAATGTTTATTACAATGATGTATTTTACTATAAAGAAATACCTTGTGATGGTGTATATGAAGTCGTGAATGTTGTAGACAATCTAGGAAATAATGTGTTGTATATTGATTCTTTTGATAGCTTGGATAAAGCATCTTTGTGGCATTGTCGTCTTGGACATGTTAGCAAGAAGCGCATAGGCCAACTCCAAAAGGCTGGAGTCTTGGAATCGTTTGACCTCAAGTCAGATGATAGTTGCGGGTCTTGTTTACTTGGAAAAATGACAAAGTCACCCTTCACAGGTACTTGTGATAGGGGTGAAGGTTTTTTGGACCTTGTACACACGGATGTGTGTGGCCCTTCAGAGTTCCTACAAGAGATGCTAATCGTTATTATGTGACTTTTACTGATGATTACAGTAGATATGGATATATTTACTTAATCAAGCATAAGTCGGAAACCTTTGAAAAGTTCAAAGAGTTTAAGAAGGAAGTTGAGAATCAATTG